TGCTAAGCTGTCTGCAAGAACACAAAGTCCAAGGAGGGCAAGAGGCTCTTTAGCCAGCCCCATTCCAGCCCCTGCCAAGCCCCTCACTCTGAAATGCATGTGACATCACGTGACACCCTGGGAGGCGAGGGGCACACACATCATCACCGAGGCAGTCATCCTTATCTGATGGCTCTTCCTACACATCTGACCCTGGAATGGGGCTGAGGACCTGAGAGAGAGCTCTCTACCGACTCACCCAGATTAGCACTTTCTGACCCAAACACACAGCTGACAAGGGCAAAGGAGAAAACTCAGAGGGTAAGTTAGACAAACTCCTCCAATCCACAAATGGTCACCAAGGACAGTCGGGCCCATGGAGAGCTCTGGTCCAGCACTGGCTGACGCTGTGAAACTACCTGGTGTTCGGTTAAAGTGCCTTGACCTGACCTTCTGGAAAGCACCAGGCCCAGGAGGGAACCCGAATAGCAAGGCTGTTGGCTCAATAGACAGTTCCCGAGCGCACAGCTCTGCACCTGGTGATTTTCCTCTAACAAGCACTTCACATTTCTTTATGTCCCATCCATTAACTGGGGCTTCATTGCTAGTAGGTAAAAAGATTGACAGTGTGTAATTGAAATGCAGCACTCCCATTTACGACATCTTGCTCCAGGAGCCCAGAACACAGCCCCCTCCAGCCCCCTTTATCACGCTGGAAGTAAAACGAATGAAGTCGCTTCCTTGTCCATCCCTATGACAGGAAGTGTCAACTTAGGGAGAGTATGTGTCTTCCCTTCAGGCTGACTGAAGTTATTCTCATCTGGGACAAGATGATAAACTCACTGTATTTGGGCACCTTGCAAACACGTGTGGTCTTATCAGAGAGCACCAGGAACAAATTTTCCACTGAGTGTGGGACACACACTAACTTTGTCTAAGAAGAACCCAAGCACTGCCTCATTTAGCATAAGCTGAGCACCAGAGATCTCTTTGATTGCCCATCAGAAGTAATTTTTAAAGCCACATTAAAGTCACTCACCAGGAGCAAATTTGCCTAAGGGCAGGAAAAATTCTAAGAACTGATTTGTCGAGGGCTCTGCATTAATTGAAGCTTACATAATATCCTTTTATGCTTCAAGATTGAGTTGCAATGTGTGGGCTAGAGGCTCTGCTGAGAAGCCACGGGCCAGCACTCTCGTGGGTTGGCCACTCAGTGCTCTCAGTGGAAGCCTTTCAACCCTAAGNTAGCATAAGCTGAGCACCAGAGATCTCTTTGATTGCCCATCAGAAGTAATTTTTAAAGCCAGATTAAAGTCACTGACCAGGAGCAAATTTGCCTAAGGGCAGGAAAAATTCTAAGAACTGATCTGTCGAGGGCTCTGCATTAATTGAAGCTTACATAATATCCTTTTATGCTTCAAGATTGAGTTGCAATGTGTGGGCCAGAGGCTCTGCTGAGAAGCCATGGGCCAGCACTCTCGTGGGTTGGCCACTCAGTGCTCTCAGTGGAAGCCTTTCAACCCTAAGGGGCACTGCCTTGTGTCGAGGTCAGGGAGGGCACCAGCACTGTAGCCTCCTGGTGCAGACCAGATGCTCACAGCACAGCAAAGGGAGAAGCATGGGCTGCAGGGGCCAGGGAGGAGAAAGATCTGCTGCAGCAGGGGTCTGAGCAGACGATGGGGA